AGTAGAAAGACAAACAGCTTGTTTTTTCCTAAAAAACTATCTGCGAAGATATCAAATATCCCTTGTTCATCTTCAGGTGTAGGTACTCCTGATGCAAAAGCCATGAATTGTTTTTTCGCAATAAGTATATACCAGGCTTTTTCTTAGTATTGTCTCAACTCAGTACTCGCTTGGCCTATCAACGAGAGGATTTTATTCGCTGTTTCATCCATTCATCATTTAAAAACTTAATTAAATATTTATTGTAACAAAACGGGGAAAATACTTCAGGAATACACTTACACAAAAATGTTAGTCAAAAATACAATAAATCACCCTAAACTTNGATTACTACACTTGTGTCATCTGCAAACTGCACAGTGTTGAAATCAATAGCATTTGCTAGCTCATTGGTATACAGAATATATAGCAACGGCCCTAAGATTGATCCTTGCGGAACTCCTCTCAAGATTGTTAATTCATCTGACTGTATGTTTTCGTTAGTGAGGTGGCATTTTTCAACTACTCTTTGTGTTCTATTTTGCAAGTATGATTTTATTAAATCGGCTGAGATTCCCCCGATTCCATAGGCATTAAGCTTGCCTATTAGTATATTATGGTCGACACTGTCAAAAGCTTTTGACAGATCTAGACAAATCATTAAAGTGTGTTTTCTTTCATTTTGACTATTTAGCACTGTACACAAGGCTTGATAAATCGCTCGTGTAGTAGATTTGCCTCTTCGGAAGCCATTTTGGGTGTCACTCAATAACTCAAACTTTTCTAGATAGGCTATAAGGCGATTATACAGAGCTTTTTCGAATATTTTACTAATGGTCGATAGTAGAGCTATTGGTCTATAATTTCCAATTTGATTTCTATCACATTTTTTGAAAATTGCTTTCAAGTATGTGAGCAATTTTCAATTTATTGGGAAATATGCCATTACTAAGCATCATGTTGACAATCACTTGACACTGCCACCCAGCAGGATCCAAGAAGAGATGCGCGGCATTGCTGGAACCTTTTCTGAAGATCAATAGGTACCTACTGAATGAATTTCTCAATACTGTCTGTTGATGATCTTGATCTCCCTCAATATTTATGAAGATTTATACGCTGACACTGCAACTTTGATCCGGTCACTGTAATGAGGTAAAATGCTCAGTTTGCAATCCGTGCAAAGTTTTCGTATTCGGAGATTGTTTTATATTTCTATATTTTGTGATCGTATCAATTTTGATGTCTATGAACTTGGAATATTAAAAGATGGAATTCTCGATACTGATTGTTTTTGTTTTAGAATATTGAAGTTGAGGTTGGAACATTTTTCAATTAATGTATTCGCTTGAATGGATTTGAATTATTTCATGATTATTTTCCATATTTGACAGTATTGCTTCCCGCAAGCGTCGCACAATTACAAGATAATACTCCATATTGCCCGAACGACCATGTGGTAAGAACTCATGATGCACTACGGTAATCGAAAAAAATAGTGAGCAAATCATTGACATTTGATCGTGCTTTTTTTTGTCTTGACTCTCTTCGGCTTTTCCACTGGGACGATTGGACTTTGGTTTCGATTTCATAACCATAAACCCACAATTCGTTACCAGTTATAACCATTTTGAGCAAATCTGGTTCGCCGTTGACGTCATTCAACAATTCCTGAGCGATGCTCACGCGATTTTTTTGTCAAAATTCAGCAAATCTAGAAGGAACTTCGCTGCCACTTTCTGCTTTTTTAATCTGCACATGTATTTGAAGGAATATAACCCAACATTAATGAAAACAACTTTCCAAATATATTATTTTATTTTCTACATTTCAGACAAGGTATGAAATTAAATATTAAAAAACAAACAATTAAAAACTTTGGATCATAAGAAGGAACAACAAAATGGAAAAATGTCTAATGCATTGCTCAGTAAAAACAAAAGTGATTCTCTGAGAAAATGTAACAGTTTCTTGGTATAAGCAGAGCTAAGACAGGGTGCTCAGCAAAACACATGATAAAATTTTTACAGGATGTCACCTGAGTTTTTTCACTAATTAAAAGACTATTCCAGTACCTAAATTTCAGAAAAATTACTTTTTATCAGGGCAAGCGTGTCGTCCATAATTTTTGTCAACCTTGAAACAAAGCTGCGAGTTTCTTGATTTTTCCAGATTTGATAACACCCTGTGACGTTCATCAGCAAACTGTAAATGTATATATGGAATTGGAAATGTATTTAGCGAGGACGGGGAAAATATTAGCTTCCCTAAAATGGCGTTGGCCTAACAGTTCTACTCAACGACATAACCGGTTCAAGGTTATGTCGATGGTTCTACAACCTGGGCTGAAAAGTCTCTGGACTAACACATAGATGGCGCTAGTGTAATTATATTCACCGCTTTTTCAGTTAGTACTAACCTTCAAAAGAAAGCTGTTGAAATTTCATAATATTCTACTGATAAGTTTGTGAGTTATTTATGCTAAGAGAGACAGTACTTTTATTATTTTCGAAACAATGGATCAAAACTATTTCGTGTTATAATTTTACACTGCTTCTTGATGGGAAAAATACCTTTCAAGGGAAGCAAAGGCTTGAAAAGTGTTATAAGGACTCCGCTCCATTAGAAACAACAATAAAACGTTGGTTTGCTGACTTCAAAAGTGATCGCAGAGGCGATGATGCAGAACACAGTCCAAATAATGAGGCAGTAACAACAGAACACAAAAAGTCCACAAAATGGTTTTGAATGATCGTAAAGTGAAGTTGCGTGATTCAGCTTGACATTGTAAAGATATCAATATAACGTGTTGGCTTTATTTTGCATGACCATTTGACTATGAGAAAGCTCTGACACTATTTAAACATGATAAACTGGAATTTTTGCGTTGATATGTGACAATGGATGAAACAGATCCATCACTTCACTTCGGAACGATTGTTATCTAAGTGTAGAGCAACTGGTGATCCTCGTTTAAAGCACCAGAAAGCACAATTGGCTGGAAAAGTTATGTCCTCGGTATTTTGGGAGTGTGGGTAATATTCATCGACTATTTTGAGAAGGGAAACAACTTCAACAGTGAATGTTTATAAAGCGTTATTGGAGCGTTGGAAGGCTGAAATTGCAAAGAAGCAACAGCATATGGCAAAGAAAATTTGTTTTTCATCAAGACAACACACTGTGTCACAGGTCGATGAAAACAATGGCAATAAATTATTTCAACTTGATATAGGCGCTGTTGCCAATATGTGAATTAGAAACAAATCCCTTTAAAAATTAAAACCCAACTTTTCGAAGTAAATTTGAAAAACTCATGAATTAAACTCAACTTGATTTTGTTCAAACTTGCATTTGCTGCAATAACCCAAATTGAGGAACATTCCCCATTATCTACAATTGTGAACAGAGAACACCAAATTCACCGTTGGAGATGAAACTTATAATGCTTTACATACCAAAAAGATTGAATTGACTGCAATTACACAAATTCCTCAATGTTATTGCTCAGAATTATTACATGTGCATTGTTTCATCTCGGGTGAATCATCAAGTTTCAGTTTTTCACGATTATAGCAAAAACTCCACATTGAATGCTCAACTGTAAGACAAACAATCGTTAGTACTTATATTCATACAGTAATATCACATAACTTACAGGCTATTACAACACTTACATGTATATAACCTCATTTTTCCGTTTCCTGGCAAAGTAAAACGGTGAAAATGGCGGACTTTCACCAAAGTTGCCTTTTTTGTTTTCATAAACGACAATTAGATGGCACTACTGATGGTTGGTTAATTTACAGGGAGTTTTCGAGAAGACTTTGGGAAATATTTGAATCACTCATGAAGCTTTTCATTGGAGGATTTTTATGAATGCAACACTATCGGAAGAAATGTTCAACTATTGGTTTGCAGAATTTCATCGTGGCTTTATACGATTCCAAATAATATTGATTCTGTAAACATGATTAAAGAAGATCAGCATATGACGTAAATACCTAAAAGGTGGCCCTTGTAGAAGGTATAAGTGCGGAAAATAAAATCTGGGACAGTTGTAATCTAGGTTTGAAACTGTGTATTTTAGTCTCTCAACTTTACTGTGGGATGTGTTTTCTCCACTTGGGGCTTCGTTCACGAGATGGAGTAGTTAGTAGTTCGCAATCTTTCTTTAGAAAGATTCATATATGCAGTTGAAGTAGTTAATTGCTTCATACATTTTTGATCAACTTGAACAGCAAAAAATATCTGGACGTAACTCAATATCCGTCATGCTATCATCCAGGACATTTTTTCTTTTTTATCATTGTGAGTTGCATATATTTTTGAACTATTTGAACTGCTTGAACAGCAAAAAATACCTGGACGTCATTCAATATCCGTCATGCTATTATCCAGGGCATTTTTTCTTTTTATCATTGTGAGTTGCATATATTTTTGAACTACTTGAACAGCAAAAAATATCTGGACGTAACTCAATATCCGTCATGCTATTATCCAGGGCATTTTTTTACCATTGTGAGTTGAATATATTTTGAACTACTTGACTGGCGTATCCCACCAGCAAAAATATCATTGCCAGGACGTAACTCAATATCCGTCATGCTATCATCCAGGGCATTTTTTCTTTTCTACCATTGTTAAGTTGCATATATTTTTCATTGGCTTTTCAACTACCTGACTGAATATTATCCCAGATTTTATGGCAATATACAAATAGATATGACATGTAAGCATTTTTCTTTGAAATGAATACAACCATAGCAGTGAGTTTTGTTCGAATGTTGGATATTGAAATGGCTTCATGTCTCTAAAAGTTTTAAAAATATGGAATAACTCATCAAGAATATAAACGATGTAGTAGAACTTTTGATACGTCACTCAAATTCTTGAAATACCAAATATTCAATGATGAGAGCAGTAACTGTTAAAAAATAATAAAAACGTTATAAGAAAATGTTAGCTTGTATCGTTGCTAATATCTAAATGTACAGGAAGCCTTGAAAACAAAAAACTCAGAATTGACAAGGAATAAAATCTATTGAATGTGTTGGGTCTGCAAAATTGACACCTCACTAAAAATCTACAGTGAGCAGCATAAGCGTTAAACCCTCTCAACGTCATATTGGAAATTATTCGAACGAATCACCGATTTTTTATTCCGACAAGTTAAAACTCTATCAAAACAATTTCAGGTCGTGTCTAAAAGACCTGAAAAAGCTTTTCAAAATCTGCAATAAACTTCTTTCGATCCCTTTGATAATTGACACAAGGGTGCTCCAGGGTTCCATTTTGGGACTGATACCAATCTTTTTAAATACCTTTGATTCTACTTGAGCTTTTCTACAGCTCAAAATTCTGAAATAAAAATCAATTCCACAATTAAGAAGGTCTTAGTTTGGACTTTTGATATGCCCTCTCTTACTAACACAGATAAAACAAGTTCTATGAATTGAAATAATGAATCGGTATCGGAATTGACCAATACTTGAAATTCATAATGTATTTCTTCGAACGGTTTACAAAGCTGCCACGCGTGTTTCTCTATACAATAGCTTCCTTAGGCATGTGTTTACATGAGTGTGAACACGCCATAACCGACATGTTTTGGCAATTCAAACTAGTATTTTCCATTAACAAGTTAAGAGGACAATGCTCGCAATTCTCACCGTACAGCATATTTGTCACGCATCAACTCTAAATCATCTTTCGAACCTCTCGCAGTACATACAGTAAAACCCCAACTATTCGAACTCAAACTATCCAGATCACTTTAAGAGAAAAAAATTTGTTTGTATTTCTCACGAGACAATTAATTGCGAATAATTCGCAATTCTTAATGTAGTCTCCAAACTGTATATATGAAATTGTGTTCTGTTTTCAGTAATTTAGTCCGACTTCTGATGTTCACAAAAATAAGATGAGTTTTCTTCAGATATCCCATCAGTCAGTTTGTATTTGCCGGTGAATGCGAAAACCTCTTCCCTTACGAAAACGCCATCTACGGGATCGACTCAGAACTCATTCCCATTTTCCCAGAAGCAGACGCCATCTATGAGAACGGCGGAGAACTCACTTACTTTACCCCTTACGAAAACGCCATCTATGAGATCAACACAGAACTCATTAACATTTTCTCTAAAGCAGGCGCCATCTATGGGAAAGGCGGAGAACTCATTCACATTTCTCCTCGCGAAGACGCCATTTATAGGATAGAACTCAATCATATTTCATCTTACGAAGGGGCCGTCTCTGAGATTGACAGAGAACTCCTCGAATATTGAAGACAAAGTCATTTGAAGCTTGGCTTTGCGTGTGACCTCCTTGAGTTCTCTGTTGATCCCACAGATGGCGTCTTCGTGAAGGCAGTAACTTAGGCCAGTACTTTGAGAACAGGTAGTCCTAGCAGACTAGCACCACTATTGAGACCTAAGGCGGGTTAAACAGAGCTGTCTGGTGTTGAATCCTGAATGCTTTGTGTTTGAGCTCTGGTTTCCAATCTGAAATAGAGATTGCCCCAAATAATGCTTAATTGGAGTTTTACTGTATCTGATTATTGACCGATTCAAATCGCCGTTTAGTGACTAGACTAGCACAATATACGAAGCACCAATCCCGCACGCCATTACACAAAAGGAACTGACGCCAAACTGGAAGAAAAACTCCTCTTTGTCGAGATCTATGGAAGCAGCGAAGAGCATACGTCATAACGTGTGCCTGTGAATAAGCAAATTCACTTTAGTCTTGGCGCGCTTCTTGTACGTGGCGTGGTGCGAGGGTCTCTTCGCTAGGAGCCCGTTCACGGCTCGGACTTCTCTATTTACACTATCTACAACACTAGTTTTGTTTTCTATCGTGTCAGAAACTATATTTTCTTTGTGAACGTCTGCGCTGACGACACAGCGACCGTTATTGGAATCACCAATGTCACAACTATTAACTAACAGTTCGATATCCACTCTCTTCTCGTTCGGGTCCACTGCTGCGGCTTCGGGGGTCTTCTTCTCGCCGTGCTTCCAGATGATGACCACTCAATCCCCCCGACAGGCGCCCGCCCGTTTCGGTTCCGTGTTCCCTCGGTAGATGAACACTTCCAGGAGGATCAGGAGGTCCACCGTCACTTGCACCGTCCCGCACACCCAGAACTGCACCGGAGCGTCGCGCAGCAGGAAGTAGGCCGTCTTGAAGATGTCGCCGCACGTCCACATCACTACCATGCTCAAGCTGGAAGAAAAAAAATTTATATCACCACGTATGCCGTGGAATGTTGGTGAATGTACATTCAGCCGATNTTGCAGTTCTCTTTCTATATAAAAGGAACTTAATACTTATTTTGTGAATTTTTCTGCTTTTTTGAAGTACTGTATTAGGCATAATAAGAAAATGTAATCAGTTTTACCATTGACACCAGGTAGCGCCACCTACTATAATAATTTTTAAGTAATTACCTATGTGTTCAAATAAATTAAAATATTATTTTGGTACGCCACTGCAGAGTTGATAAGAGGATTATACGTTGGTCACTTCAAGTGCGACGTTGCTAATTAATCACCTTCAATTGAAAATTGTTGTAGTATACAAGCGGTATAAGTTTTTCACAGATGGTCAAGAAGATGTGAAACACGTCGCTCGCCCTGGACGCCTCAGCAGATGATTTGTTATAGACTCTTATACTCAATTGAAAGTGGACCATTTGGAGTTATTTTTGCTTGGATAGATGGAATAGTTACGTCTAGTTTCTTTAGGCGGAGTAAAAAAATACCAGTACTACAGACTGGATTTCAGCAAAATAGAAACTTCTCAGAATTTGTAAATATACAGCATTCATAATTTTTTTAATCGTACATTCATTCTCATATCTGAATAGAAACCAGAAAATTTGAATTTTCAGCTAGCTGGACATCAGGCCCATTAGCTCAGTTGGTTAGAGCGTCGTGCTAATAACGCGAAGGTCGCGGGTTCGATCCCCCCATGGGCCATCTTTTTTTTTCATATTAGGATGTCATTTAGAAAAATAAAAACAATTACCATGACTGACTGACCAATTCGAGAAAAGTTTCCGAGATTCCAGCAAGTTTTTTTAATAAGCGACTTGATTTAAATAAAAAAAAAAAACTGGGCTCGTCCGGGATTTGAACCCGGGACCTCCCGCACCCTAAGCGGAAATCATACCCCTAGACCAACGAGCCGATGGTAAATAATGTTTCAAAGTCGTTGATAGGCAAAGATTGTATTGCTTTTATTCACAAAAAAGCGCTTGATATTCAAAATATTGTTATGTTATGAATGCTGCAATAGTAATTCCTTTTTTTTATCTCGACGTGAGGAGCATGTAATCAACACAGATAGTTTATCAAGTTGGGCACGTGTCGATATTGAATACAGAGTAATAACAATAATTTTGATTATATGTAATTATACAGTTATAATAGGTACAATGACAGTTCTATATTGATTCAAACCACACCTAAAAAAATTAAAATTCAGTTATGCTGAATTTAACCTTTCATTGAATTCGTGATCAGTATCTAGAAGTTATTATTACACTCAGTGATTCAGAACTGACGACTACCTATATTTTGGAAACATTTCATACTATTGAATAAATAACAGGGCCTGGAATAAATTTTCGATTATAGAATCTGCTGGAGTTACAAACTATTAATATAGTATATATGGTGCTCACTTTAAATGGCCCATCTTTGATATTTAATTTATTAAGATAAAAAAAAACAAGTAACCCTAAATTAAAATTTCAATTGGAACTATTTTACCATCGGAAAGTCGAACAAAAGTAAATTAATGATGGTTTGGTGGTTACACCCCAAAAAGTTTTCAAGGAATACGAAAATTTACTGTTTCAGTAAGAACTTAAAGCTTTAAATTTTTTTTATAATATTCGTNAAACAAATTTAACTTATACTTTAGCCTCAACAACACGTGGTGGTTACGCTATTGAATTGTAACTTGTATGACACGTTTGTAGGTTTAACATAGCAGCGCCATCTATTGATTACTTACTCAATCTCGTCAACAGATATCGCCATCTGTTAAAATCATTTGAAATTAACAGATAATTGTGAATGTCAAATAATAGACAAATAATTTGCAATAAAATAATATTGCGACTATTGAGATGTAAGCTATCCTATCTTTCAAATTGGATCAAACTGCAAACAGTGTGCAAATTTTATTAAAATCGGTCAAGTAGTTTAGCAGTGGATAGTTTTTTTGAAATATGGTTAGCATAGCATGGTTACAATGTTAGGAATCACACGTTATGAGTCCCTAGCTAGCACAAGTTTTGACTTCTGAGGGTTGTCGTTCGTAGGGGTGCGACAGCAATAGATATATTTTAAAATAGATATATCGATGTTCTCGATAAAGGTATTTCATCGTCTCTTCAAACTGGCTTGGTCTCATTTGGACATCCTTTATAAAAAATGATGCAAACGTACAAAAAAGGACTGAAAATTCTATACTAACCTCATGCCTTCTGTAGATTTATTCCTATAATTCTTAATTAGCTGAGGCATCCCTAGCATCGCTTCCGTGAACACAGCCATGAATCCAACGGTTTCGACGAAAAACATATAATCTATGAATATGTACATCAAGAGGGAAGTGACGATCATGAAGACGAGAATGCAGTCCAGATACGACTGGAAATCGGTCCAGTTCCAGAAGTACTTACCGTCGAAATCTGCAATAGATTCATCATTAAACAATGTCAAACGATGGTATTTCTAAATGTCCCAGAATCGCAAGTGTTGATTGGGAACCCTGCACCATTTTTGAATTTGAAAAGAAACCACCAGGTTTCTTTTGACCAGTTTCCTTGCAGTGAAAGCTGCAGAGCTAACAGAGGGCGAGACTCTTAAGGGAACCTCAGGCTTGTCCTTTAAGGACCACTCAGTTCATAATGCATCTATTGTAGGTTCAAACTTCTCTGTCTAGTATTGTCACACTTTGTTCTTCACTTTCCACAGCACTTCGATTTGCTACATGTCTACGCTTAGTGCATGTGTCATAGTGCAGAGCTATGCCAGTCACAAATCGGCACTAGTACAAAGTATCACTGATAGATGGAGTAGGAGACAGAGAGCGCTCTGGATGATGTTTGTCTAGAAAGTAATAAAGTCGAAGTTGAAGGTGTTGCGTTGCACTGTGGTATGATGTACTGGTCTAAAAGGCATCTAAGTTGTTAATTAGAAATAAGTGTTGTGAACAAATAGACAATAAAGTCTATTTAATTTTAATTTGGTTAATGATTCCACACCTTTACATATTCTAATAGTATCTTAACGATTTCAGTTTTCGTAACTGAAACTTCAAACCACTTTCGAAAGTCTAGATGACTAATTTTCAGTTTAGTTACTTGATCAAAATTAATTATAAAATATGGTGTCTGGCAAGAATTTCTATTGCAGCAATTTTCATTTGCAATATAGATTGAATGCTAATACCATTTGCCGGTTATAAAAAGCTCAGACAAATTTTGGAGCTTTACTGAAATCCTAGAAGGTCTGGAAGAGCTACTATGAATGGGGAATGTTCCTCAATTTGGGTTATTACAGCAAATGCAAGTTTGAACAAAATAAAGTTGAGTTTAATTCATGAGTTTTCCAAATTCACTTCGAAAAGTATTCAAATTGATGTTTCAAACGTTGGGTTTCAATTTTTAAAGAGATTTGTTTCAAATGAACATATTAGCAACAGCGCCAATAATTTATACGTACCTAGATATTCTACTTTAAAAAAGGAAAATTATCTTTATAATTCAACAATTAACGGAAAATATAAATTATAGTTCAATACCACCCCAACAAGCCACATAAACAACAGTTGTTTTGTTATTTATTTATATAGAGGAAGATAGGTTAGGTGCACAAAATGTCATATGCCACAGAATGTCTCGGAACTCGGAACATAAGTAAACAGAACAGTAAGCCTCTGAAATATGTCATCTTTGTTTGTCCCATACAGGTAACAGATTCATTGTCCTTTATTAGCTATAACCTATGTTGCCAAATGGTGAAATAGTAACGAATCCCTTTAAATATTGAATGCATTATTTCATTCCTCTTTTTTAAGTATTTAAATAATTTTTTAAAGGAAAAGGTGGAAATGATAAGTTTAAAATGCGTTGTTTTACAGCTCTTTTATGAAAACTACTTGATTCTCGTCAGGAGGAACATTCCCCATTAGTTGTTTTGTAACAATGTCCTTTGATGCATATATATGAGTACTTTCCAGTTTATACAAAGATGTGAAGGATTTCATAACATAGTCAAATCTATAGGCACTACATTTTCAGTCACCTCAAAAATCATTTGGACTCAAACTCTATACGAGGTCTGTTAAAACACTATGTTGAATTTTCAAATTTCCCGGTATACGTACATCCAATTATCGATTTTTACTTTTTTGTGTTGGAACAACCGTCTCGAACAAACGTTGAAAGTTTCATCTGTTTAACATGTTTGATCTGTTGACGATGAGAGACATAAAAGTGCTTTTCCATCACAATAATGCACCTGCTCACTCATTATTGCTTTTTCGTAATTTTTTGGTCAAATCATGCCTCAGCCATCATATTCGCCAGATTTGCCCCCCTGCGACTTTTCCTGTTCTCAAGATTAAAGAGCCCATAAGAGGATGGTGTGTACGGGTGCACAAGCGTATTATATCTGAGGGGAGAACATTGACGTTAAATAAAAAGTGCAAGTCATTTCATATTTGCTATTTTTCATCTTTAAGAAAATCTGTATTAGGAGTTAAGAACTAGTCATTCCTAATGGTAGATTTCCAAAGCTTGCTTTAAAAAATCATTTTCCAAGATAAAAGAGACGACTGATAAAGAAAACAAAAAAATATTGAAACAAACACTTCGGTGATAACTACAAATTACTAACAAAAACTTAGCTAGGCAGTTGCCATATGTTTTTTTTTTTGGTATTGTATTGCACCAAAAGACTCAATTTTATTCTTCATCATTAGTTAAATTTGACAGTACCATCATTAAGAATCATGTATAGAGACACGAATCCATGCGTTAGCATGGATTCGTGTCTAAAGCTATATTTTCTGATGATTCGAAAATGTAAAATAATTTTCCATATACACGTGTAGGGTGACTTCAAGTTTTCAAGTCTTTCAATTAAGTTTTTATATCCCTTCAATAATTTATTTTTTAAAAAGCTGTTTTATTGAATTGTTACTTTCAAATAGGTAATCAATTATGAATCGGTATTACCTATACCCACTTTGTGAATGATCACAAGTCACCCCCAAGGTGAGTTAGAAAAATTTCCTCATGATGGCAAATTCGTTGGAAAAACATGGAACATCATTAATCCTTTCACGCTTCTAATATTGATAATTATTTCAAAATATGGTGCAGGGTATTTGAAACTAGCATGTAGCATGCATAACAGACCCAATAAAAATTTTGTGAATTTTGGAAAATGAATGGATTATTATAATGGATCAGAAACAATAATAATTTGCTTTCAAACTGAATAAGAAGTTAACTTGACTAATGCTTCACTGCATTATTATGTTACTCAAAGTTTTTGAAGTAACACTAAAACTCAGCACTCTGTATTCATAAAAAAATAATCACTCAATATAAGATAATGGGCAGATCAATAACCCAGCCCGAAATTGGGACACAAAGAATCAAAGGAAGAATGCTCTCTTGTCCTTCAGTGTTTCTATTTTAAGAATGATGACCTTTTGTTGACTGATAAACCTATACAAAAGCCACCAGAGACCTGATGATGATCTTTCATGAAAACCTTTAATAAATGTGATATAAATAACTGAACAGGGTTGGTGCTTTCGAATTTCATTATTTTTCCTCATCGGAAACATTTTATCATTGATTTTCAAGTCAAATGTATATTGTTGATATAAGTAGATTAGTTTTGATAGGTTGTGACGGTTTTATATTATCATTGGTGGGTATGGCTTTGTTGGATTACATGACCTTGTTTGTGTACAATCAAGGACAGGTAGCTAGATTTTATTCATGTTCATTGCCTCATCCTTCCAGTTGAAATTATCCCTGTATTTCTGAATTTCTATTACCTCTCTATATATTCTTGGATAGTAATTTTGAGTTTTATCAAGTATTTCTGAGAATACCTCCACATGGACCTAGTTTATTTGAAAAGGGAGCATTATATGAAGCAATCAAAGTATATAATGCTCTACCAGATCATCTTAGGTCCATTGGAGGTGTCAGCAATCAAAAACTATTTACTGGATAACAGTTTTTGCTTAAACGAGGAATTTCTTTAACAATTACCCCCATATTGCCCTTTTTCATGTATTTTTTTTTGTTCTTGTTATCTGTTTTTATCTTTTAACTTGAGCATCTAAATCGACTGTGTGATGTGTTTAAATTTATTTATTTATTTATATGCATCATGTATACTGGACCATGTCAATATTCTCTTGGATCTAATGACAATAAACATTATTATCATTATTATAAAACCTTTGGTACTTTCTAGTACTTTCATCAATAACATCAATCAATCCATTCAGTTCCAGAAACTTAAATTAAAAGTAGGATCCTATGATTTCCATTACCATAAGCATTGCTTGAGATGTCCTGTAATAGACATATATTTCATATTTTGTGATTATAATAATAGTATATATCATAACAACATTCATCAAACATGAAGTAAAAGTTATTCAGGTTCCCTGTTTTATTTTCTTCATTGAGAGAGCAAACTTGCGGCTAAAGTTGAATTATTTGAAGATCACCAGGTTTGTATAAATTTTTCCCCAGTTAGTATAATGTAAAATGAGAATGAAAAGTTAGTATATCTAAAAGCTGAAGCGTGCAAGCTAAATTACCAAATATACTGCGAGAAGAGCAGGTAGGCTTAGCATTTAGAAGTCTCTTTACTTCAATGGGTTTAGCTGCCAAAATAATCAAAAATAAGGGATTAGAAACTTCATTCAGGCTATTATTATAGAAGTATGTACAATTTTAGAATGACTTATTTTTCATTCCAGTTCATGAATTACATTTCAATTATTTCTATGAGAACAAAAAATTCAAACAAAATAAGACAGAGCATTCATGATAACTAAAAACATTGTAGGCTCCAGTACAGAGTCTTGAGGTACACCATAAGAAATTGGTCTTGATTTTGTTGTGCTGCTTTTCATGTTTACAAAATTATGTTTGCTAAATATTTATGGATTATTCTAGTTCAGTAGCAATATGATCTGCTTGAAAAAACTTGAGAGGTGAGTCTTTAGTAAGGGAAATGGTTGAAATCAGACAAAATAAAAATAACCTGTCTATTCAATTTGGCACAATTCCTTCTGCTTCTTTAAAAAAATTGGAAGTGAATCATTTTCAAATAAATACACTGTAGGTATGTTACTTTTTTGTTTTTTTTCTGAGAAATATAGCAAAAGGTTTAAAGGCTTTAATTAACAAATGGTACAGTTTTTATGAAACTTTCTTAGTTTCTAAGTGAAACCTAATTTTATCTGTTCATATATTTTTATCAGCTTTTGAAAAATCACTTGGCAAACTATTGATTATTGATTACTATCTAAAAATAACTAACAAAATCTCACCTAGAAAAATTCTTTGCCTCGCCTGATGCAGCTGGTTTTTGTTCCTCACATTAACACACAGGTGGATCATCAAAAACATAGTAATATTCATAATCATACTTTGAACTAAGAGAGGATATTCGAAGTGTCTTCCAAACCTGCAAGATTAGCATTTCTACCAGAGTTCAAAATCCGTTCTGAAAACACTCACCAAAACATAATCCTTAAGGTATTAGCTACCAGAAGGGCTAAACACACTAATAACGAAAAACCTTCGGCATCTCTGGTTTTCCTTATTTGTCTGTATTGCGGGATATAAGGGATGACACCCCCTACAATCATAGCTGCGGCGCTCACCCATCCCACGACAGTGCCTACTGTTAAAGACAACTCGTCAGATATCACCCAATCCATTTTTTTAATGTATTTTCTTCGAACTATTTGAGCAACTTTACATTGTCCTACATTCGACTATTTCAGCAGGTGGCCGTACCCGTGCCCGAAGGTTGTCAAATGCCAAATGATAACATACAATTCCTGATAATCAAAGTGAGAGGGGTAGATTCCTATCCCTACAATCGTAGAAATTATCGCAACACAATAGAATGTGCTGCCCCCATTGTCTGGACGGTTTCAATCACGAATATTCCATTGGTTAGAGTAATGTCACAAAATAGACAGCTGAATTGCATCCAATCAAGTTCGATTTTGAGGGCTAGAGGAAAATTTAAAATGTTATTCTACCGCTTGTAATGTCTGCGCACTAATAGCATTCTCCACTGTTAAAACCAGTGCATTTTCAGTGTATTTCTATCCTTTATTAATGTATGGAAAAATAGAGGAGAGAGAACTACTAATTATGTCTCGGTTTTTGTAATGAAAAACACTATAGGAACCCGCCGTGGCTATATTGCCGGCAACGGGTTTTATAATAAATATTAAATAATATCTAGTATTGCTCGATCCTAATAACTCTGTTCTCATCAAATCAGTGTTTCATTTTGAGTCCAGTAATCAAAATGCCAGTGAGATATTTTCTGAAAATAGCTATATCATATAATCTCTTGTTTTGTGTGATTCTTGTTACTTTCATTAGCAAATGCACAAAACAAGCAATAAAATTGTAAGAACGTGTTTCGCTATGCAATAACGTCACAATACTGACGCTCAAAGATGTTATTGCATAGCGAAACACGTGTCGCGGTTTTGCGAACTTTGAAGTGGAAATGTCACATTAACTCTTTCAGGGGCAAACATTTTTCTTTCATCTTGATAGATGAAAGAAAAATGTTCTTTCATTGATAGCTTCTCTAAGTCTAATTCTTTATACAAAACGAAAGCATTGACAACAGCCGCGTCTACTAAATAAAATAAGATGCGATGCCACCATTTTTTCGATTTACGATCAATTTTATATATATTGAGATTTTGATCGAATTTATCCACGTAATTCATATTTTTGTTGTAATCTATCAAAGCATTTGGACAAGACATTTGAACAATGCTTCCGTCCTTATTTTTTCGATCAACTTGGCCCTTACTAGTAGGATTATGGAAGTTAGATAAAACATGAACACTTCGATTGTCTCGCAACGAGGCGTGTATCAGATGTTGAAATCTGAGGTTCGCCACGTTTCAAAAGTTTATCAGGTTTAAAATTTGGAAGCAATCTTCTGCTTGGGTTGACCGTGCCAAAAGCGTGGATATTTTTAGTCTTGAGGTCTTCTAACAGCTGTACACTAGTAAGATAATTGTCAAAATAGATAACGTGATGCTTTTCCTCCATACCTTTCAGTAGATTTTTCACCACCCTAGCACCCAAGTTTTTCTCCGTATCTTCGGATTTCCCGGTATAAATTTCAAATTTCTGGCAATAACCATTTTTATTCGCTAACATCCACACTTTGTAGCCCCTTTTGATCGGCTTCTTCGGGAGATACTGTTTCAATGTACTCCTCCCTTTGAATTTGTTCATCGATTCATCGATGGCCAACTCCCTAGAAGGAGCCATGCAGTCCATGAAATTTTTAGATATTTCGTTCAGAACGGGCCGTAAATTATAAAGTTTGTCATAGCCTGGCTCTCCTTTCTTGGGCATAATTATATTATCTTTCAAATGTAGGTTTGAAAGGATCAAGCGAAATCGCTTCACTGGCACCAGTAAACTGATATATGGGTCATTCAGATCTGGGGAGCTACTCCAATGATCTCTATAGCTCTATACCCATCAATAAGTTTATGGCAAAAAAAAAACTTTCATTTCTGATTTGTCCGTAGTTTTAGGTCTCATGGAGGTTTGACGGCAGTATAAATTAGTTTGGAAGACTATATACTCTATGAGATCGTCGGTGAAAAATAGTTGGAAAAGTTTTCCAGGTGTAGGAGAGTCCATATTTTTCACAAAATCTCTTACTCCAGTCTCCGCATTGAAGATTTCCGGATCTTCCTAGACCAGTCACGTGTATTCGACGTCATGTACAGCCGCTGTTGTATCAATGAGAGAGGCAAATTATCTTCTGGAACTGAATCACTATCAGGCTGTATAGTATCGATTTGGATGTCGATATTTTCGAATTCATCTTCGGATTGTTCCACTATTGATTCAGGATCTGAAGGTATATCTTTGGCATCAATATTGTCAATTTCCTGCATGAATTCTTCATAAGTCATGCCCTGAAGTTTGAATGGTAAGGATTCCATTACGAAACGCTGGAAAGAAGGAAATCATTGTTGAGGGGCGGTGGTACAAATAAGGTACCGCAACATTTCACAAAATTTTTCAACGATGGATGGATAAACTCGAATGATTCCGTGAACAGCATAGTCTACAGACAGCATCAAAAACATCAGTAACAATTCACAAAAATATCCCATTGTTCTACTTACTTTTGTAGGGGTTTTATAAGAAGAGAACACAATTCACGATACGCTTCAGTGATCATAACCTAAAATGACGCGTATTATTGAAAATAGCGGCAGAAAGTGAACGAGCGGTAAACTGTACAGTTGAGAAACTATATAATACACACTGGTTCTAGATTTGAACCAAGGCCCGACAACTACAAGTATTGGGAATAGGTGGTAAGTATATGTGTGTATTTGTAGTGAACACTTCAACAAATGTAATTGCAAACGGATACAAAACTTCGAGAAATTTATTGTCATTTTGTAATCTATTAAATTTTTCGATAAAAAAATAGGGGGGACCCATAAACCTGCTGTGGCAAATCAACGAAATCACGAACTTTGTTTGAGCATTCTGTTAGCGTTCTGCTAACGAGATTTTTTTTTATTTTTCTTAGTACAAAATATAATTTTCTTCATTATTCCCTGACTTTGGCAAGGACATCTTGAGAATAATCAAATGGTAAGTGTCAAATGTCAGCCGCCGCAAAACACGCCGTCGGAAAATTCTCGTAATTAAAAGAAACGCAATTGATACCAAATCTTATATATTTAACTAGATATAAGTTACATAATCTAAAATGTATGTAATTCAATATATTTTACACATTTAAAATTCAATAAATATAAAAATGTATTGTTTACTATAATGTAATGGTTCAATGGTATATAAAACCAACTAATTTTGAAGTAGTCGGGGATCCACAGTTAGTTCCTGAGTAACTTCGCCATTCTCATTTATTGCATAAGTAACCAGACATATTTCTTGTCTGTTATCGTCAGTCAGTAATTCTAAATTAGAATCTAATGTATCCTCATTCACTTGTATAATGCTATCAGTACTCAATATAACAGGTTCTTGACTGGGAGAGTCGAGCACATTGATTTCAACGTCCTGGAATAGACAGAGAATAAAGTTAGATTACAGAAATCACATACAGATTACCGCATTTCCATGCACCTTCAATTAAGGTTTTCTATTCAGAATTACTTGATCAATAATATTTCTATCTCGAATTATGACATATAAGTTCGTTATTACATAAACTATAAACATAAACCAACGGCCGAATCAATTAGAAAAATATGTTCGTAAACTTGTATAAAAATATTACTGCCTTTCAGCTTCAACAGTTCACCGTCGATGTGGCAAAGAAACAAAACGATACTCACCTCATCGTCCTCGTTTCCGTCCAGGCTAGCAATCTCGAACGGTACCAACGTTCCGTCCGGCAGCAGCCCCTGAAAAGTTTCCTTGTCGTCGCCCAAAGACACGACGGGCACCGTCTCGCCGAACTTCGTCGTGATGCTGATCGGGCACCCCTGCCGATCGACGAGCTGCGTCACTTGCAAGTCGTCGCCTTCTTCGACGTCGTTGGCGGGCGCGAACACATACTTGACGTTCTCGGCGAATTTGTGGGAGCGCATGTGCTTGTTCTTGTTCGAACTGTCGGAGAACGTCTTGTCACAGTGGTCGCACTTGTAGGGACGCGCCCCCGTGTGCATACGTTCGTGTCGCTTCAGAGCCCATTGCTCGATGAAGGTTCGCGGGCACTTCGCGCAGGCGAACGGCCGCTGGTCGAGGTGGCGGCGCACGTGCGCCGAAAACGTGTCCTTGTGGAGGAAGCTCTTCTCGCAATATTCGCACTTCCATGGTTTCTCGCCTGCAAAAATTAGTATCGTTATTAGTAGTTTTTAAAACAAGTCATACACTACAGGGCCTTTTGGGAAGTCCAAAAGACAAAGTCGAGAATTCGGAAAAGTCTGGAATTTACGAAATTGAATGTAAGGACTGCGATGCAAAATATTATGGACAGACAAAAAGATCTATTAAAGTAAGATACAAGGAACACATAGCACACTTAAAATATGGAAGACCTGAAAAATCAGCAGTCGCCCATCATATTTTGCAACAAAACCATTCCATAGACTTCAGTTCATTAAGATTAGTTAGACAAGTTAACAACAACAGGCAACTAGATGCCTATGAGAGTGTAGAAATAATAATATATGCTGTATAGCATAAATAGCGTTAGCTATTTATGCTATACCAAGTGATCATCTTCCTCTTGAAGATGATCACTTGGTGTCGAAATACGAGGTGTTAAAAATAACGATTTGGTGTTGGGAAAGAACTCCAATAATATTCATTACTACACCAAAGGTTCCAAACAGTGCATCATAAGTACTCGATTCAATGTTTGTAATGAAAAGTCATTTTTGCAAACTTAGGTTGAAACTAAACGTGAATCATTCATATTTCACCTATCTTCGGTTATGAAAAAGCTAGGTACGCTAGTATTACAGCACAGTTGTTTAATGATATGATCATAAGGAAATGCGAAAGAAACCGTTTTTGAGCCATCGTCTATTGGATTTCTGCCTGGCGTTTCATCGGTACGTTTGGCTGGTGTCTTCAGAAGTCTATGTCATCGCTTCCAAGGTAAGAGGTACACTTCGATAACACAGACCTCTGAAGATGCCAGCCGCTAGCGCCAGCGAAACCTCAAGAGAAAAATCCAAGAGACTGCCTAAAAGCCCGAAACCACAAATCAGCTTCAATTTTGAGTAACAAGTTACCTTAATAAATATTCCAAACTCACCTGTATGTCGCTTGAGGTGAATGTTAAACTGCGACGACGTCGTGAACGACTTTCCACAACGGTCGCAGTTGAACGGCTTCTCGCCCGTATGGATCCTACGGTGCTCCAAGAGATTACCCTTCTGCGAGAACGCCTTGTTGCAGAACTCGCACACGAACGGCTTGCGACCCTCGTGCCACCGCTGGTGCAGACTTAGCGATGTGCGATGCGCGAATTTCTGGCCGCATTCGCCGCAGCAGAACCTTTTCTCACCCGTGTGCAGCGTCTCGTGATTGGTCAGGTTCGCTTGCGTCTTGAAGGTGACTCCGCACTTGTCGCAAGCGAACGGCCGCTCGTCAGAGTGAACGAGCTGGTGACGCTGCAGCAGCTGGCGGTGCTTGAAGCCCTTTGGAGTGAATTTACCAACGTTAACAACTTATACGACATGTTGACATAAACAAACAGAAATATGCAATTTGAGAGATTAAAATTAAATTTCAGACAAGTAGATGGAATCAAATAAAATATAATTGATACAATGATGAGTCAAAGTTTTGAATTCAAACAATATTGAAAACACTTTTACAACTTTAGTTGATGGCTTATACAGTTTTAGTCACCTTCTGGTGATGCTAACTTGGTTAGTGAAACGTAGGTTTTTAACTGCAAGGCGACAAGCTGAAAACAAAGCTGGGCTTTGCAGCTGACCGCCTTGATATTTGAGGTCTGAATTGGTGTCAGTCTCATAGATGGCGTTTTTATAGCGGGAGATGTCAGCGACCCCACTCAAGCTTGTCCAGCAACGCATTTGTGATACGTTATGTGTGGGGTCTAGTTTTTCATAAGCTGATCTTTAGCGAGAGCAGCAGTGGAGGACAGAGAATGAGTCTCTTCGGTAGTCAACGTCGAAGCTCGACTTTGCAACTGATCGTCTAGGAGAACGTCGTTTATCTTTGATATTCGAGGAATAAGTTCTCTGCAGTGACGGCTCGTGCATTGGAGAACAGGGGAGGCTAAAGACATAAAGACTATATAAACACAGAAAAGCCCGCCAGAGGCGCGAGAATTTTTGGAGTACCGCACCTATTTGAAGCAAAATACGTAATATTTGCATAAATACAAACAAAAATTGTGTATTGCCGAAAATTATACGTATTAAACTGACCATTTAAAAACCAAAAACAAGGAAAATGGGTTGTCTTTGAGTTATTTAATATAAATGAACTCTTCTCAGTCAATAAATAATACTTTTCTCTTCTAATATAACATTGTTAAAAATTACTACAAATATTTTATAAGCACAAGTACTTAATTATGCTTATAAAAATAGGTCTAAAAGTAAATTTTATTGTCCAGCAAAAACCAAATTAAGTGAATTCACAAGGCATCCACAAACTACTTTTAATCGGCAGTCATTCAAGTTCAATATAGTCTGCGAGGGTCCCGCATTTTGAAAGGTGAATTGAAAGGTGTATTTTGTAATTTTGGATAGAGAGAAAAAAAATCTGTTTGAAAAATCGGTTTTTCCGTTAATCAGCTGTCGCCCCCATACGAACGACAACCCTCAGAAGTTGAGAAACTTGTGCTAGCTAAGGTTTAACGAGGAAGGAAGGAAGGAAAAAATAAAAAAAAGAACTAAAAGTAAACACAACCTTCGTTCTTAACAAAGACGATATAGCTGTTGCTATATTTTGTTTGCTAAACAATTTTAATTTACAAGACGAAAATATATGCTCGTTAGATTTAAAATGTCTTTCTGTAGAACGAGCTAAATTTTTTAAATCGGAGTATCCTATTTTAGACCACGTTTGGTATTTGGTTTGTACGGAAAATAAAACACAGGGCCAACAAAAAAGTTTT